AGAATTGAAAAATGAGTTCAATGCATAAAGCAATAGACAAAGGTCATAACAAGACTCAATTCATTGAAACTCTCATACTTAAGTTGTGTTTACAATGGTGCTTAAGAGGGTTATATATGCAATGGGGGCTCTCGAAAAAGAAAAGAAATCCTTAATTCCTGACATGGAGGTTTTGAAAAGTTTGATCCATGGATGAAGCGGAATTGCACAGAATCCATTTTGACAGTGGAAGCAGGTCGCTATTAACTAGGCACCATACTAGAAAATGAATGGCCAATTGTGGCTTGATTTTCATCTCTCTGATCGATATGAGTTGGGTGTTTTTATGATCACATCAAAAGCTATGGATTTCCAACTTTATTTAGTTATTTTGTCCCTCACGATCCAAGGTTCACGCCCACCCCCACATCAGACTAACATTAGTAGAAGAACGACGAAACTCTTGATAGAGTGCTTGTCATCGTATGATCTCAAGAACGATAAAACATAATATTACATTTTCATCAACATCAACTGAAAGTGAGAACCGTTCGTAAAAGTTACGGAGAATACAGAGAGACAATAAAAGGGAAGCACACATTATGCATATATTTATAAGTCTCGTGCGAAAGAAAATAAATGTACGAACCTAGTCATCATCTTATACCGATTTATGTACTCTTCCCCATAACCACGCAACTCCATGAGCTGCATATAGTGTCCTAGAAGAAAGTTAGCTATAGCTACACATTACAACATAATGAAAAGGGATTGTAATTCATCAGCATTGTATTTTTCAGCAACATGGTCAAAGTAGTATCGGTATAGGACCAAAACGTTCAACTGAGATCATATACCTTGAAAATATTAGCTTCCAAATCAGATTGTGAGCTACAATAGTATTAAAAAACAAAGTCAATAGTGTTTTAAAAAAATAATTAGAGAGAGAGAGAGAGATGAAGGTAATATTCATTCTCCTTGGAACAGGAAGTGCAGAAAATGACAAAGAGGGGAGAAGATAAGAATATGTCTCACACATCTAAAAGGCTATTATCTACAAGCAGCTTCTTGAGCTCCAATGCAATTTTGATAGCAAGATGATTTGGAATCTGAAATTAGAAGAGTTAGAATTAGCATACGAATGAGAATTCAAACAAACCTGTGTCTACAAATACATCGTTTGCTTCCCTAGCAGAGAATAGATTGAATATAATGTTGTAACAGCTCAAGCCCACCGCTAGCAGATATTGTCCTCTTTGGACTTTCTCTTTCGAGATTCCCCTCAAGGTTTTAAAATGTGTCTACTAGAGAGAGGTTTCCACGCCCTTATAAGAAATGTTTTGTTTCTCTCTCCAACCAATGTGGGATCTCACAATCCACCCCATTGGGGCGAGCGTACTCGCTAGCACACCGCCTAGTGTCTGGCTTTGATACCATTTGTAATAGCCCAAGCCCACCGCTAACAGATATTGTCCGCTTTAGCTCGTTCATATCGTCGTCAGCCTCACGGTTTTAAAACGCGTCTACTATGGAGAAGGTCTAGCCCTACTTCAACCAGTGTCTCGCATCGTTCGGTGACTGGCTTTGATACCATTTGTAATAGATATTGTCCTCTTTGAGCTTTCCCTTCCGAACTTTCCCTCAAGGTTTTAAAACACGTCTACTAGAGAGAGGTTTCCACACCCTTATAAGAATTGTTTCGTTCCTCTCTCCAACCAATGTGTGATCTCACAATCCACCCCCTTGGGGCCAACGTTCTCGCTAGCACACCGCCTAGTGTCTAGCTCTAATACCATTTGTAATAGCTCAAACCCACCACTAACATATATTATCCGTTTTGGCCCATTACATATCGTCGTTAGTCTCACGATTCTAAAACGCGTCTACTATGGAGAAGATCTAGCCCTACTCCAACAATGCCTCGCACCGCCCAGTGACTGGCTCTGATACCATTTGTAACAGCCCAAACCCACCGCTAGCAGATATTGCCCTCTTTAGGCTTCTCCACCGTGTTCTAAAATGTATACTAGAGAGAGGTTTCCACGCCCTTATAAGGAATGTTTCGTTCCCCTCCCCAACCAACGTGGGATCTCAAAATGTAAAGCAAATACATCAATAAATCAAAAGGGTTGCTGACAAGCACGGCACCAACAAAGGCTCTTAGGCCAAAACTCTTTAAAAATTGGATGCACTTATACCTTGGTCACTGTCAACATCCTGCTGAGCAAAAACCGCGACAAGACATAATAGTGATCTGCGTTATCTCCCAACCACACCTTCACCTGCCAGAAATTATAGAACGAAGCAGAATTCCGAAGCAAATTCCAAACAAGAAATCAAAAGGGAACATCAAATCATCCAAAATTGATCCAATTCTTACATTCGCATCAATCCACTCCAGAAATAAGCAAATAATTGAATGGAAAACAAAATTTACCTTAACAAAATCGTACTTGGAGGAGCTGTTACGAGAGGGCAATCTGGCAACCGGATAAGTGTGCCAATCTTTGAGATTACCATTGGAATGAGAAGAGTTACCGGCGTCGGCGATTGTTTCGTCGCCGATGCCGGTTCCGGTGGTGTTGATCTCGGGGTTTGGCATTGATACCGAGACAGCCCTCCCCTTGTCCTTTACTTTCCTCGCTTCCTTTTCCGACTGTGTTCGCTTTCTATTTCTGTCTCCTCTCCTCAAACCTCGGAGTATTTATACCACTCTCCTCATTGCCACGTGGCAATACGCCTACGTAACTTTTTTTTAACCGAATGGATCCAGAAATGACTAAAATTTGAATTTGATTCAAATTGACTTCACCAAATTTTAAAATATAAATTAAAAAAAACACTATTTATTAAGAATTTAACCCGACAACGTTTTTATTATTAAATTTATAACAAATAAACAATTATATACTAATATTTGAAGATTAAATTTATACACTTTTAATAGTTGGAAGACTAATCATTATAACCTGAAGTTTAAAAATTAATCGTTATTTCAATGAAGTATAGGGATAAAAGCGTCTTTTAGCCTTTTATTTTTTTTAAATTAAAAAAAACCAATTTAAATAGAAACCAAACAACAAATTTGAATAGAAACCATTGATCCTTAATTTCAAGAATACACTTAAATTTTCAAAAAATATTATTTAAAATTTAAAAAATTAAATTTTTCTTACCTTCAAAATAATTTATAAAGTATCGATATTTTTTGTTTATATATTGACGATAATAATTTTTAATTTTTTTTCTATGAAAGTAAATAATGTTAATCTTACTTTAAAATTTTATGAAACGAACTTTTAAAAAAATGGACATTAATGAAAATTTTGAAATACTATTAAAAGTTTAATGATATTTTTGAAATAAAGTAATAACATTTTCTATTCAAAACTAACGAAATCACTGAAGAACAATAAGATTCTGATTATCTTGTTCATCAAATATCTTCATGCAAAAACATTTGTTTGAGATTTGAATCACTCCACAAGCAAGATCGACCATATCTAACTTAAATGATTCTTTTTTATCAAATATTTTAAGGCAAAAACATTCGTTTGAGATTTGAATTATTTTACAAGCAAAATTTATAATGTCGAACTTAAATGATTCTACATGCAACCTAAACTACACGTAATTGCAAAGAGACTTAGCCATTGGCTAAAGGAAGCACAAATGCTCATTTTATTATATTTTTAAGTCTATTTACAAATACAACATACATGGCTTTACATAGCCTCAAAATGAAATTATCAAAGACATTCAAAGAGTTAGTAACATTCATACTTTAGGCGTCATAATTAACTATAATGTAAATGTAACCTAAAGTAAATAAAAATTCTTAAAATACATTTAATACAATACAATACAATAATTCTAAATTACTATAAATTGTAGTCCAACTAAAATTTATAACAATAAAACTTCATTTTTTTTCGTGGCATAAATTGAAATATCTTTTGATAATTTCAACAGCATTTTCTTCACATCTTCATTAAAATATATGTATGATTGATGTGTCTCGATTCCTATCACGTGTTTTTTTTAATTTTAAAAGTTTAAAAGTATTATTTGTTTATTTTTTAATTTAAGATAAAATACAAAATTTATAGATATTTTTATTAATTTAATTGAATAATAATCTAGTAAATTGAGAAAAAGAAAAACATGTGCCCCTGCCCCTGGTTAGTTACGCTCCTGGTTTCCCATCAGTATTACACCCTAAATAATAATTATTATTATATAAATAAAAACAGATATTTTACCTTAAAAGGTATAAATAAATTAATGATGAATTTTAGAAAATAATATTTAGGAGAGAGAAGTGCCCATTGTTTCCATACCAACCACAGGAAAAAAAAAAAAAAAAACTTTTGGCCAACTGAACTATTCCACTTTAATGGTAGGAGAGTTACAATTGTGTCGCACTCACTTCTCACTTCTCATAAGTGAGTTAAGCGTATTCGTTTTTATGTCGCCTACTGCTAAGCGATATATGCTCGAGCCTCTAGCCCGATTTCAAAAGGAAAATTTTAGAAAACGAGGGCAGAGTGATTTCGAAATATAGTTTTAAGAACAAATTTGAGAAATTGAAATTTGTGTGGTATTGGAGTGTAAACAAGAGACAACAACAACACCTTATTGCATATGACTATCAAGAGAAGTTGACAACTGGTATATATATATATATATATATATATTTTTTTTGTGCATAAACAATTATGAAATATTAAAAAAGATTATAGATTAATATACACTTTTTTATTTTTTTAAAAATGATATAAGTTATTTGTTAATTTACATATTTTTAATAAAATTGGTATATTTTTTTAAAAATATAGCCAGCCAAATTAACATTTTATTAATAGTTTATTTTAATTTTCAAAAAATCTAAGTCTTCCGTATTTTCACCGACAACATCTTTGCTTTGCTATTTTTTTAAAAAATTAATATAAAATATTTATATTTTTCTTGCCTTTTTTAAAATAAAAAGTGGGGAGTGAACACGTGCTCCTTGCTGGACCCTCTATATCATCTCCCCCGAATTCCCCGACGTCCATCACCCAAGGAGCGTACCCGCGAAGTTCTCTCCCTCGCAGACGATTTAGAGCGATCTCTCTACATTTCTTGAACCAAGATCTTCTTCTCAAATCTACAAATACCAGAAGCAAACCGATTCAAAATTGACTGTTTTCTTCTTTCTCTTCCAAGATCTACATTTGCCTGTTTCTTGGTACACTTCAATCCTTTCTTTTTCTCTTTGATTTCCGCAATTCAATCAGATCTGATGCATTTTCTTCGTGTTTCTTACTTGTATTGGATTTTTTTCGTGTTCGTCTTCTCGAATCACTTGTTACGATTTGGATCTTACGAGGCTGTGATATATCTTTGCATTTGTTTCTTTATTGATTATTATTTATATGAGTTTGGAAATGTGTCGGTCGTTTTGTGTTCTTTCTAATTTGAAATCTTTAACATTGTGGGATTATTTTTCATTTCCCTATTGGATCTCTCTGTTTCTTTTGTTTTGCTCCCTTGAAGATAACCGTTTCTCTGGCGGTGGTTTGTTTTTTTTTTTTTTTTCGTGTGGCAAATGTATATGATCTATAGTATTTGAGGTCTTATAAATTATCAAACCACCATCCGGAAAGTGTTGTGTTAGAATCCTGCAACGTTGTTGATTTAGAAATGATTTTGTGAATTGGAAATTTGGGTCTAGTGATGGTGATTCGATACTTTATGGAATTTTAATGTTTGTGGCCTTCAATGGATTCTGTGTTTAAGGACATCGTTTACGTTTATCGCTGTTTCTCTATAGCATTTTATTATTTGGTAGCTAAAATTTGGTTGAATTACTGCAATTTTAGCATTGGAGAGTGTTGAATCTGAAGATTTAGTGCCAGAACCATCTGCTTCCAATGGGTTCTTGTAATGGAGAGACTCATTCTGCTGTTGAAGGGTTGGAGCAACCATTTAGGATCTTTGTGGGCTATGATGTTAGTGAAGATCTTGCTTATGAGGTCTGTCGCCATTCCATCTTGAAACGATCTTCAATCCCTGTTGAGATCATTCCAATCAAGCAGGCAGATCTGAGAAAGAATGGTGTGTATTGGCGTGAGAGAGGACAATTGGAAAGCACAGAGTTCTCGTTTTCCCGGTTTTTAACTCCGTATTTGGCAAATTACAAAGGATGGGCAATGTTTGTGGACTGTGATTTTCTGTATCTAGCTGACATTAAGGAACTGAGGGACTTGATTGACAATAAATATGCAATTATGTGTGTCCACCATGATTATGCACCAAAAGAAACTACAAAAATGGATGGTGCAGTTCAAACTGTGTACCCAAGGAAGAACTGGTCTTCAATGGTTTTGTACAACTGTGGCCATCCAAAGAACAAGGTCTTGACACCTGAGGCTGTCAACACCCAAACTGGTGCTTTTCTCCATAGGTTTCAATGGCTCGAGGATGACGAAATTGGGTCAATCCCTTTTGTTTGGAACTTTCTTGAGGGCCATAACAAGAGTGTGGAGGGTGATTTGAGCACTCTCCCTAAAGCAATCCATTACACTCGCGGTGGGCCGTGGTTCGAAGCTTGGAAGAATTGTGAATTTGCAGATCTCTGGCTGAAAGAAATGGAGGAGTATCAGAAGGAGGCTAAGAAGAAATCTGAAGAATAGATGAGATAATAAGCACCGCATGAAAGTAAGTTGTTCTGCTTGATGTTTAGTGGTGGCATTTGAAATTCTTTGAACTTTTGGCTTAATATTCTTTAGATTAGATTTTATGTTGGAATGTCTGATTGTGTATGGAGTTCTTATACAATATTCTATAAAATTACGTCTGATACTTATGCCTAACTCAGGTGATCAGACATTAGCAGTGTATTTTCTTAAGCATTCCCCAAGTTATAGGCTGGAATCTCCTTCCCCATTTATTATATAGTATATTATGTAAAATTGTATAAGAAACAAACTATGTGATGAATGTAAAATTTTAGCTTGCAATTGCAATACCCAAAATTTATTATTTGAGAACCCATTTGTTTGTTAGGACAATGATTTTGATTTTGAATTATATTCCTCGAGTTATCGTTGAGTTGTTCAGCCCGATAATGATTATTTTGTCACATGGTGTATGAATAAGTAAAATGGCACAACTCGATTGAGTTTAGAAGCTGATGCAGCTACTCAAGTTTTTTGATTCTAATCATTAATGTTGACTAAGCTCAAAGTTTCTTTGTGCAGTTACCTATTATATGGGGCAATAACACCCGTCCTTCAAACAAGCTTTACGAATTCTTATGTCTATAAGTATTAGATGAGAAATCAAATAAGCGTACGAATTCTTATGCCTATAAGTATTAGATGAGAAATCGAATAAGCGTAGGATTAAGGAATGTGGACAAAGATGTGGGAAGCCAAATTATCTTTTGTAAAAACAAACATAGGGCTGCACGCAAGGCATCAATCTCAACATGGTAAAAGAGTTTCACTTTTTCTACTATGGGCAATCCTCCATTTAATACTTTTTTTCTTTTTACATAAAAAAATAATTAGATAATATATTAAAGTATTACAGATGAATTTGAAAAAGAAAATAAAGTTAGCCTAATTTAGATTAAATATTATTAAAAAAGCAGATAAACAAATAATTGCAAGTAGAGAAATTAATTTACTGTCTGATCAAGTTTTTACTAGGACAATTTTATTAATTATGATTTTAAAAAATAGCTAAGCTTTTACTGATAAAAAGCAATTAATTAATATTTATGTTAGTCATTCCATTAACTTATATTAATTAATAATTATGCATGAAATATTTGTTTTAAAAAATAAATATCTTTAAAAGAAAAAAAAATTATTAGATTGTGTTATTTTTGACGAAAAAGAAAAAGAAAAAAAAGAAAAAAGAGATAAAATCCCAAAAGAAGGACCGGAAAATTCCCAGAGAAGGGTTCGGGGAACCGCTGAATGGCTGACGTGGAGCTTTAAATAAATAATATATATAATTCCTTCTTTTATTTATTTATGTATTTCTATCTGTAATAAATATTGGAATTTACGAACCACTTTTAGTTCCTCCTTCTCTCTTCGCTGTCTCTCTCTCCGGGTTTCTGGTTTCACGCCTTACCAGAAATGGACTTCGTAGAAGATAGAGGTTCTGAATCAGAAATCTGAAGCATCGATTGATTAAATGAGTCAGGTTTTTCTCTCTCTTTGTTTCTTCTTCTAATTACTTTTTCTGATTTTTGCCGTTGCTGCCTGTTCTTTTCTTTTTTCCGCTCTTCGATCGTGTGAGCTAATGCATTGCTGTGGTATTTTTGCCTACAAAATGTGTCGCGTTTTGACTTTTATTACAACTGGAACCTATTTCTTTCGTTTCTGGAGATTTCATTTGCCTTACGGAGTTTCTGGTGACTGTTTCGGTTTTATACGACTGAAGTTTTCGATGTTCTTGTGGAACAGCTTGATTCTAGCTTTTATCTTAAAATGCTGAGCTGTTCCAATATTTAGATGTATCTGACGGTAACGCGATTTTCTATTGCTTATGTGAATTGTGACTGATAACGCTGAAATTCTACAAAAACAGACGTGTTAAAATTTATCATGAATTTAGATTCTAGTTAGACATCTGATCGAATGGCACGTTTGGTGGTGCTGATGTAAATGAATTCCAATTAATCGTGCGCAATATAAACTTCAACTGTTGTTATATGCGGGAAATAACATCGTAGATGAAGAATAGACGAGTGTTTTAAAAGGTGCAGGCATCTAATGCCATCTTCGTAAAGAGTTTGCTACATCATACCCTGAAAATATCATGTATGACATACTAGAAAACATCTCATGCTTCATTGTGGAAATTCTATCATACTATCTTCATGAACTACTTTGTGTGCGTGCTGACCAATATTTCTAGATAGAATGACTGAGAATTTTGATTGGACGAGCTAAGGATGTTGCGTAGCTGTAGTTTTTCAAGTGTTACTGTAATATCTGTGGCAAGGAGAAGATAGTGATGTTGTGCACTTGTGCTATAGTATTACTGTGCCAAGGTGATCAATCCTTACTGAATACTTTAATATTCTCTCGTCATTTGCAACAGTTGCATTAGTCTATACTGGAAGCATGTTGACGATACAACTCAATACATGAAAATTCTTGAGAAAAAATAGGACATTCAAATTCCTTCTTGGTCTTAACAACAATCTTGATGAAGTTTGAGGACGAATCATGGGAACCAAGCCGTTGCCAACTCTCTGTGAAGCCTTCTCTAAAGTAAGGCAAACAGAAAGGAGGAAAGTGTAACGATGAGAAAATTAGAACCAATCTCTACACTTTTGGAAGCTTATGCACTTGCTCCCCGTAGTTTTAACCCATAGTACAACGTGACAATAAGCAGAAACAAAAGAAGACCTTTGTGTGAAAATTCCAAAAAGGTGATTAATATAAAAGACACATGCTTGAAGATCCATGGGAAGCCTGATGATTGGAAACCTAAGCATAGCAATGATCATGATGGTAGGGCCTATATGGCTAATGTAGCTTGTGATAATTCTGTCAATTCAGAGTCAACACCATTTAGGAAAGAACAAATAGATGCACTACAAATGGATGACTGGTTGCACAAAAAGTTATACCTACTCCCTTGATAGCTAGTAAAGAAGGGATACAACCTTGGATTTTAGGCTCCGGAGCATCAGGTCATATGACAGAGAATGCATCTCTGTTTCAAAACTATCAAGCTAACAACTCCAACTCCAACTCCTTTTTGAAAATTGTAGATGTGTAATACTATAAAATGGTTGGAATAAGTTCAATTAGAGGCACTCAAAATTTATATTTTAACTTTGTATCACATGTGCCAGACTTGGGTTATATTAACTTTCAATAAATAAATTAACAGGTGATTTTAAATGTGTGACTAGTTAGGAGAAAAGTTGTGCAATATGAGATTGAAGCTCTTAAGAAAAATGGCACGTGGATAGTGGTAGGTCTACCTAGTGGAAAATGAATTGTTGGGTGTAAGTGGATCTTTACAGTGAAGCATAAGACTGATGGAAAGGATGAGAGATCGAAGGACAGACTAATTGCTAGAGGATTTACTCAGTCTTATGGGCTTGACTTCCAATATCAAATTAATTAGGTGTTCCTGATTTTTTTTTTTCATATTTTGATGTTTAATGTTGTTTATAATTACTTAGGTTTGTGTGTATTTCTCCAGACTACAAGCAACACCAGTTCATTAAATCCCAACCCCTATAAATTAAAAAATGAACTCTCTTCAAGGATAGTTACAAATTCCAGTACTATTTGTAGGTTTGCATATATTGCTTATGTATATAGATATAAATATTAAAAATGAAGAGTTGTTAGTTCATTTTATCCAGTATTGAAATTTCTTCAATATTATCAAACACTTTTTTTTTTAACAAGTTTCTTCGACTTCGGTGACATTTCTCTAGATTTAAGTTGGAGATAAGACAATGAATGGGCTTCTCTTTCGAACCTTATCATTAACATTTGGCAAGACAATTTTTCAATTTCACTATTGATAACATTTCCCCAGATTTATGTTTCCATCTACTTTTCCATCAACACTTTGCAAAGTGAATCTTCTACAATTCCATTAATATCAATATTCTACTCTTTGGTTACAATTAGAAGCTCATTACTGTCTGCTGCATTATCAGTGATATTAGGCAAGACAATTTTCCAATTTCACTCTTGATAACATTTCTCTAGATTTAAGTCGCCACCTACTTTTCCAACAACATTTTTGCAAAGTGAATCTTCTACATTTCCACCAATATCAATATTCTACTCTTTGTTACAATTAGATGCTCATTGCTGTCTTCCGTTACCTGTTTTTGCACTCATAAAATATTATTCTTCGTGTCACCAATGTTCATAGAATTTGAAACCATGGGTTTTCACTTTGAAAGCAACAAAATTCATACTATTTTTTATGCATTTTACATGATCAACCTTGATGGCAATCAAATTATTTTTTAATCTTTTTCTGATATATATCTCATTATAGAGCTTGAATCATCTGGGAACATCTTCCACGCTTCTAGATCCTAAAATGACTCCAAGAACAAGTCGAGGTCCTAGAGCTCAGAAGTCTAGAATTTCTTCCAACGAGGGCCCAAATTGGGTTCTGATTGCTGGGGGTGCATTATTGAGCACCCTATCAGTTCGCCTAGGTTACAAGCTGAAACAAGTGTTTGACACAAGGCAGCTGAAGGATAGTGGCAGTTCTTTAACAGGTCTTGTTATTTATTAATGATTGAAGAAAAATGCCTGGTTGAAGCTTATTAACTCTTGAGTTATTTACTGCTCAGGAAATGTGAAATCTTCTGACAGAAGAAAGGCTGCTGGATGTCGTTGCTCGAATGTATATTCATTTACACGAGGTGATGAATGTTGTTTCAACTGTATGCCAGGTTGGTTTTTGTAATCTTTCATTTAGAAGGAAAAAAGATAGATTAACTTTGTAAACACGGTGTTCAGTTAGCTGCTGAGCTAATGAGATTTTTGTGTGTTTGCATTTTTGTGTTTTACCTTCTCATGTAGTATGGATTCTACTAATATGTTTCTTGGATCTTCTGCTGTCAACATGATGTGCATGTTTCTATTTTTTTGTCAATTTGAAGACTCGCACTTGGAATATTTTGATGTCTCTAGGTCCCAACAATAGACATCTTCAACAGTATCAAAAGATCTTGTTTCTTGTTTTTTTTAAAAGAATATCAAAATTTTGGTTTTTTGTCTCTTTAGGTGCTTTTCTTCTTTTATGAAAATAAAGATTGAGGCTGACCTATTCCATGGGAGTTTAATAGCTTTAGTGCAGAAAATAGTTGTTTTGTATTAGACAAGTCAGGGCCTATCTGGTATGTGATTTGGATTTTGTTTTTATTTGCTTATTTATTTCCCTTTTTTTAGATTGGCAAAATAAATAAATTTAAGAAATAGCTGTTTGGTGGGCACAATTTTTGAAAACTCAATCTGGATTTGATAACTTA